TTATGGTTTCTTGCATCTACTACTTTTGCTAAGGGGAACAGGTGATTTTAAAATCTACACTTGTTTTTGTTTACTCAAGTAAAAATGTTATTTTTGTTTGTTTATCAGTACTTTCAGTGCAGTGTGGGCACACTTTACCAACAGGTCGAACCGGAARCTGAAACAGGAAGCTAAGTTTAGCATCACCCGCTAACTTCAACCCAAAATAAATAAATAAATAAACAATAATAATAAAGAAACTAAGGCAGGTAAATTTTAAAGACAACTGGATCAGGTCTCTGCTCACCTTTTAAAGGATAAAAACCCTGTTCGTGCTGCTGCTTGTTCAGGTGAGTTCAGTCACTGCTCGGGRGAAACAAACCATTTCCATGACGACGGTTGTTTGTGCTGCCCCCTGGTGGTCAGAAGGAGAACYGTGTCCTAATTAACTGCTTTTTAAACTGTTTATAAAATAATTATGAATTAACCTTAAATCTCCTCTGTAGAGTTTCAGTAGCTGATAARTACTGCAAAAGTTCAGCTGATGAATGTGGGGTGGGGGTTTGTAACTTTTATACTTTTCACAATATTTAAAATTATCTACAGATATTTTCCCCATTCAAATACTTTGATTTATTTTCAATTCTTTCAAATAATCAGTGTTCTCCTGAAGTGTGTCTTGTTTTTCTACAGCTGGTTTGATCAGCCTGTTTTAGATACAGGTCTATAAAGTACTTGAGAAAAATAACAAAGTAAAAGTAAAATTACATGAACAGAAAATGAGTTTGGTAAAAATGAATTTTACTGATGAGAAAACTACTCAAGTAAAAGTCATAAAACTGTTCACAAAAACTGGGAAAGTAAAAGTAAAAGTAGCTCAGTGGAGCCAGCTGACATGACTTTGTTGAGTAAATTCAASACTTCATTTTTTAGAGCAGAACCAACTTTCATGATGAGTTCAAACTGATTTAACTTTGTAACAAGTAACTATATGTGTTATATTTTAAAGTAAAGAAGTAAAAGTATAAATTTTAGCTTTAAAATGTAATGAAATAAAAGTAGCTATTTAAAAAATAATTGGTAAAATTACAAATCCTCAAAAAACTACTTAAGTACTGTAACGAAG